GAAGACATCACAGTTATCGCGGTAAGGATGAGAGTGAAGACATCACAGTTATCGCGGTAAGGATGAGAGTGAAGACATCACGGTAAGGATGGGGTGAAGACATCACAGTTATCGGGGTAAGGATGAGGGTGAAGACATCACGGTTATCACGGTAAGGATGAGAGTGAAGACATCACAGTTATCGGGGTAAGGATGAGGGTGAAGACATCACGGTTATCGCGGCAAGGATGAGAGTTAAGACATGACGGTAAGGATGAGAGTTAAGACATGACGGTAAGGATGAGAGTGAAGACATGACGGTAAGGATGAGAGTGAAGACATGACGGTAAGGATGAGTATTTCGGATGCTATGACTTCTTTCATTGGTGATCAAGTTTGGTTCTCATAAAAGAACATATGCCTTCAAGAAACACTTGGCCTAATGAGCATTTTATTCAGTAACATGATTCATTATATGTTGAAATGATGGTATTTTTTAAAAGTGATATTAGTTTTCCTGATTGAAATAAAACATAAACATCTATGTGTGGATACAATGAAATCAATCAGTATCTATGTCTGTCCAGAAATTGAATGTTTGATAACTTGTAGGTTACAAGAACTGAAAACTCTCTGGGAAAAAAACCATGTGAAACAGGTAAATCTTTGGGAAGGCTATACTGTGGGAGTTTAAATCCTTGGTAGAGAGGATAAAGATGTAGTAATGTAATAATAAGGCAGTAACAATCGTTAGTAGAGAGGATAAACATGTACTAATGTAATAATAAAGCAATAACAATCGTTAGTAGAGAGGATAAACATGTACTAATGTAATAATAAAGCAATAACAATCCTTAGCAGAGAGGATAAACATGTAGTAACGTAATAATAAAGCAATAACAATCCTTAGCAGAGAGGATAAACATGTTGTAATGTAACAATAAAGCAATGACAATCCTCAATAGAGATGATAAACATGTAGTGATGTAACAATAAAGCAATGACAATCCTCAGTAGATGATAAACATGTAGTAACTATATCAAAATACAGCAATAACAATCCTTAGTAGAGAGGATAAACATGTAGTAAAGTAATAATAAAGCAATAACAATCCTTAGCAGAGAGGATAAACATGTAGTAATGTAACAATAAAGCAATAACAATACTTAGCAGAGAGGATAAACATGTAGTAATATAATAATAAAGCAATAACAATCCTTAGCAGAGAGGATAAACATGTAGTAATGTAATAATAAAGCAGATAAAATCCTTCAAACAAGGATACATTTTTAATAATATTAAACTGAAATCACTGAAACATAGTAATTTCAGAAATGTAAATAAAGCTATTGAAGTAAGTTTTTGAAATATATTACCTGTTCTACCTATTCCAGCACTACAGTGCACTACAATTGGTGGTCCCAGTGCATGTCCGTGCCAATGAGAGCCAAGAGACAAGAGAGACTGTGCTTGTTGTTCTCGAACTTTATCACGAAATGCTAACATCTCCAAGGCAGAGAGAGGAACGCCATAGTCTGGCCAGCTTGTAAACTGCATGTGGGACACTTCTCGACATAATCCACTCTGAAATACACATAGAACCAGTCAATCAATGAACAACTGTATTAAAGATTTCAACTTTATGTACGCATTGTTGATCGTTTTTTCATGAAACAATATCTTCGATATCATTACGTAACATTTATACGTGTCTGAATATAACTATGGTAATATCTTTTATCCTTATGAAGAAACACGTGTGAAATCAGAACAGAAACATGAAATTGTGTTCTTATATCTTCGTAACTGAACAGCTACACCCTTATGTGTGTGATAACGAAGTATCGAGGTTGAACATTTTACACTGGTAATCATACCCAGGTGTGTGTGACAACTAGACTTGTTACAGTGTAATCTCTGTGCTGGTCAACATCATTGTTGTGGATTCGAAAAGGGCCATAATCTGTGTACGTTTCTTCTTCTTTTGGCCAGTACTGACCACACTTGGCCCTGCTTCTTTCGATGGTACGAGTTGTCATGACAATAACCAACACTTCTTGCTCCCATATCATTTGCCAAAAATGGGAAAATGTTTTTGGCAGTGGACCTGTGAAGGAAAAATAAAACATTGATGGTATGTTATACATAAATAAAAATTATGATATGTTGTAATTATTTGCTAGAGAAAGGAAACAAACTGATAAAACTTTCAGCCAAATGACAACAAAGTGGAGGAATAGAAAAAGATACTAAGAAATGAAATGATCTGGAAACTTAACTATTCTCGGGTTGGACCTAAATTTGTCGAAACTTCTGCATTAACCAGTAGATAATGATAAATATCTTCAACTACTAGTACCATACGTAACTTCTACATTCACGGGTGAAAGGCAATGTCATCGCGTTTGTTGATTTGAATTCAGTATTTATTGAACTACCATTTCATGAATTTATGTCAATAGACATTGATTTTTCTGTGTCACGTGGTATGTTGAATGCAGCACTGGTTCAAATTAGTTGTTTATGATGTCAAAATACTAAGTATAGTTTCGTATGAATTAGGAACTCAAATTACTGATATTGACAAGCTAGAATATAAAATAAGAGCTTCTTATCTTTTCAATTTCCTAAGATATTGCTCACGTAATAAATCAAACACAGTGGCACTCTACCCACATCTTTCCAGTTTTGGAAATGCTCCCTTATATACACTTACTTCTATGTATGACATGAATAATCAATCGGAAGCTCAGAATGTCCCCCCAGTGGCTTTCTCAGTGATTTTAACATCTTTCTTTTGAACCAAGGTTTCAATGATGTAGGTTGCGTCTCTAGTCTGGTCACAATTTCATATATTTTTAGACTGAAATACATCTTAGTTACTAAGCTTGATAAATTATAGTGGAATTCTATGGTATTGATGTAGTAATTTATGATTTTTTGGTTATTCAACTGCATATATAAAACCTAAAAAAATTATTTTATTTCATATCCTCCATGTGCAAAATTTTAAAAGGCTTAGCAACCTACATCAAGTAGCAACCGAGTACAAAGGTCGTCACTAGAAGAGATAATTGTTTGCTTTACTTCTTTATTTATTGTTTTATGTTTTAATAAAAATAAGTTTAAGAAGTTATTTCTAAATAGTAATAATCTATATACACATATAATGTAGAATAATTGAAATGTGATTATTTTACAAATGAATAAAAACCATATAACCCAAGCACTTTCGAAAGGTGGACCTTTCTTCTTCAGGGGAAAACTGGGTATTTTACAAAATACTAGTCTCTAAAACACAGCCTAGACATGTCACTTTGTAAAAACTAAAGTTGAGTTTTATTGTATTGGATACGTGCCCCACATCATTGTAACTACTGTATTGTTAGCCAGGCATGGCTGAAAGGTTAATATAATAAAAATAAATATATATATATATAAATGTATTATATTATGACATTTAAGCTATTTAGTCTAAACATTTATGTTTTCATGTTATCATTTGTGTTCATTCTAGAATGAAAAAGGCATAACTTATATATATTTTCTAATTTTTTAAAGTGTTTGTTTGTTTGTTTTTCAATTTCGCGCAAAGCTACACGAGGGCTACCTGCGCTAGCCGTCCCTAATTTAGCAGTGTAAGACTAGAGGGAAGGCAGCTAGTCATCACCACCCACCGCCAAGTCTTAGGCTACTCTTTTACCAATGAATAGTGGGATTGACCGTCACATTATAACGCCCCCACGGCTGAAAGGGCGAGCATGTTTGGTGTGACAGGGATTCGAACCCGCGACCCTCAGATTGCGAGTCGGGTGCCTTAACCACCTGGCCATTTTTAAAGTGGTTACGAGATCGGTCAAACCGGTATAAAGATTCATTACTGAAAATAACAGAAGTGTTTGATAACTGTCTGGACATTATAAAGATTTCACATGTGAAATTTGAAGATTACTTTGCATGTTGGATAGGCAACATGCGAAAAGAAACAAAAAGGCATGATAAAAACATTGCTTTAAAACCTTAAGACTTAATAAAAAAAAATTAATATTTTGCGTATGAAAGCATTGTAATGTTTACTGAT